TCAACTCTTGTGCTTTCTTTGAAGAGGGATCCTGCTGCGTTCAGCCCTCCCCACCTGGGCGCTGTTTCTTTATTATCCTCCCCCCTTTTTTTTTTCTGACTTGGGATCTCACTCTGTTGCCCAGGCTGGAGTGCAATGGCGTGATTCTGACTCACTGCAGCCTCAAACTCCGTGGCTCAAGGGATTCTCCCCCTGCTCAGTCTCCGGAATCGATGGGATTTTATGCAGGAAACGCTGCACTCGGCTGTTCTTCATCAATGCTTCAGTCCTCATTACACATATTGATGCTGTTTGATCAGCAAAAAAATCCCACTGATAAGGGCACCTAACTGCTTTATCTTGACTCTCTGGGGATTTCAGATACCCTCACCTGCGCCTCCAGTAAAGCTAACCCAGGCCCCTGGAAAGAATTTTTTCCGAGCTCTGAAAGTAGTTATCTGTAGCCCATCCCTCCCTTGACAGCCCCCACAGGGTTCATTCCCATCCCCGTAGGCAAACCGAACTCTGCTGAGCATCAATTAGGAGCAGGGGGAAAAGGCTGTGTGCTCTGAGCAGACTGGCTCCTTCCCAAGCTAAACACACTTATGTGCATCTGACTCCATTACCGCCCCAGCCTGCACACGTAACGGGGCGCCCAGCCTTTCCGGAGGTGAGCTTGTGTTTACCCACTGCTGTGGGGGTATTTCCCAGTCGGCCTCTCCTCCCCCCAGCGGAGACTGGCTGCAACCACCCTACCCCCCACCCAGGCAACCAAATGTGACATCCAAGGAGTTCCCGGAGTGGCCATCTGTCCCTGCCATGCCAATGTTTACGCAACATGGGCAGGAGAGGGACAGGCCAGGGAAGGCCCCAGGGTATCTTGCATCAGACCCAAGGCATTGACATCCCAGGCCGTTTGTGCCACAAAACACGACAGTGAAAGAAGAGTCCTCCGTCTAACCGGAGAGGTTCCTGGTTCCTAAAGAGAAGCATCAAATCTCTTTAACTTTCCTGAGGGTGTTCAAAGAACCAGCCTGATACGTTTCACCTGTGGATGAGCATCTAAAAATAACATGAGATCCCTAATTTTGCAGTTTTAAAAATATTACCTGACCGCCCCCCCAACCCTCCACAAAGTTAAACCTAAACACGGTATTTCAGACAACAATGACTTCAACAGGTTCATGAACAGTGAAGTGCCAGGAGGAACTGGCTAATGTAGAAAAGATTTAGATCAGAACTAAATTCAAGCCAGGTGCAGTGGCTCAGGCTTGTAATCCCAGCACTTTGGGAGGCTGAGGCGTGTGGATCACCTGAGGTCAGGAGTTCAAGACCATCCTGGCAAACATGGTGAAACCCCGTCTTTATTAAAAATACAAAAATTAGTTGGGCATGGTGGTGCACATCTGTAATCCCAGCTACTTGGGAGACTAAGGTGGGAGAATTGCTTGAACCTGGGAGGCGGAGGTTGCAGCGAGCCGAGATCGCACCGCTGCACTCCAGCCTAGGTGACAGAGCGAGACTCTGTTTCAAAAAAAAAAAAAAAGAAAAAGAAATAAACTCAAGAATCTCCAAATTCTAGAGTTAATATGACCATCAGACATCCTCATCTAAATGTCTCTGTTTATATTCAGAACCAGAGGTCAAGATGTGTGGGAATGGTCACGAGTTTAGAAATCAGATAAAACACAGTTCAAGTCCAGGGTCACTGCCACAATAGTGCGATTTTAGTCAAGCTCCCTAGGTTCCACCAAGTAGACTTGGAGATGAGAATACGCACAGGCCCAGAGGGGCTGTGAGCTGCAATCATGTATTCTGTTAGAGATCACAAAGCAGAAGAATGCCAGGCACACAGTAGGCATTCAATGTTTGCATCTTCCTTTCCAGCCCTAGCCCTCCTTCCACAGCCTTACAATGGGGGGCGCACCCAGGAGACAGAAGATGTCCAAGACAGCGCAGGTGAAGAGAGAAGCCACCGCGGAGCGCTCGGCTGGCCATCAGCTAAGACTCAGCGCGCTGACTCTGCTGAGGCATATTTCTGTTATCTTTCGAATGGGGAACAAAAGACGCTTGACATGTTTCACCTACCATTTGCATGAAATCTGTTGAACTACATTCCAAGTATTGGGGGAGAATCCACATTATTCATCACATAAATGCGCTTAAACTCCCTCCGGGGGGAAGACGGGCTAGCCACTGTGCCTGAAGCCAAGAGATGACACATCCATTCTATGACTCAACTCGAGCAGCTGCAGTGTGAAAATACACACACAGGCTCACAAAGAAATGGGCTAACAATTTTTAGATTTGCCCCTTGTGTGTGGTTTTTTTTTTTTAGTTTTGCTCTTTAACCTCATTATTTTCCTTTGCTCACAGAACCTGGAAGCAACGTTGGCATTGCTCTGCACAGCTCTGACCAGATTTTAATCCCCAAAAGAATCCCTCAACACTGTGGCACATGTGGCACAGGGCACAGTCACAGCTCTCAGGGACTCAGGATCCTACTTCGGGGGAGAGCTCGGAAGGATAACATCATCTGAGAAGGAACACTGGTTCCAAGGGGCAAAAATCACAGTGACTGGGGCAGTCCAGAAGGACAGGCGGGAGGAGGTGGACTTGAACTGACCCTGAAGGAGGTAAAATCTGAATCGGCAGAGAGCAGACGGGAGGCCACTGGGGGTAACCAACAAGGACAGGCGCCCTGAGACAGGACTCAGTAAAGCAAAGCAGATTCTGGCAGGCTGTGTGGCCACTTGTTCAGCCAACATTTCCTAGGCACGCCATGGCAGTCACTATAGCCATGCTGGGGCAAGTATAAAGAGAAGTCCAAGCAGCCCACCCTGGAGGAACACACAATAGCACAGTGATCAGGAGACCAGACTCTGTGGGCCAGGCTGCCTGGGTTCAAACCCTGGTACCTCACTTTCGAATGCTATTGTTTTGAACAGGTTACTGAGGCCAGAGGTGAGAAGTCATGAATACATTTTTGATTAGGAAGTGTTTTCAGAGAAAACCGGAAAGTAGGTAGGGGAGATCTTGGAGGGACGGAAGCCCTGGGGGCACTCTAGACCCAGGGCAGATAAGACCTCAGCGATGGCCTGGAATATGTGCAACCTTCTCAGGGTTAGCCCTTGCTAGGGATGCCCTGGGGGTATAGAGACTACCAGGTAGTTGGCCAAAGGGAATCCAGCCCCTAAGGGCACCCTCCACCAAAGACAGCAGGAGCAAAAGCACTCAGGGAGAGGGAATTCACTAGACAGGTGAAGGGGATCCAAAGGGATAGGGGCTGAACGTGGACAGCCAGTGCCCCAAAGGGTTAATGGTTGTTGTTTTTATTATTATCATTTTGAGACAGTCTCTCGCTCTGTTGCCCAGGCTGGAGTGTGGTAGTGCAATCTCAGCTCACTGCAAGCTCCACCTCCTGGGTTCAAGCGATTCTCCTGCCTCCCCGCGTAGCTGGGATTACAGGTATGCGCCACCACACCTGGCTAATTTTTATATTTTAGTAGAGACAGGGTTTCACCATGTGGGCCAGACTGGCTCGAACTCCTGACCTCAAGTAATCCGCCCACCTTGGCCTCCCTAAGTGCTGGGAATACAGGTGTGAGCCACTGCACTCCGGCCTATTATTGTTTTTACCCCTTGAAAAAGGCACGTAACCTAATTATGATAATACAATGTGTCTGTATTATCACAGGGAAAGTGAGTGCTTTGGCTCCACTCTCTGTTAGAGGGTACCCTTAGGGGCTGGATTCCCTTTAACTACCTGGGAGTCCCTGTATCCCCAGGGCATCCCTAGCAAGGGCTAACCCTGAGGAGGGTGCACATATTCCAGGTCAACTCGGAGGTCTTATCTGCTCCATGTCCACAGAGCCCTTGAAAGAAAGGTTTTTCCAAGCCACTGTGTACATTCAGAGAAAGGAGTGGCTACGCCGCTGTGCGTCTGGATGCAGGCAGAGCGGAGCAGCAGGTAAGACTGGAGGAACAAGTCACAGCAAGATCTGCAAAGCAGGACCCGGAATGCAGGGTGGGAAACTGAAAGTTACAGGAATCACGCACACCTCAGGAAGCATCTGTGATTCCTGCTTTCTCTCAAGTCCGCAGTCTCCTATTGTGTTCAATTTCTGGACCAACAACATAGGAGCCAAACCTGGTAAAGGTTAAATAATGCATCTCGATGTCATCTGCTAACAAGGTCGAGGTGGGTTTGTCCATGAGAGGAAGGCAAAGTTGAAAAGAACAAGAGCAACTTTGCATAGCTAGAAAGCCCCTTTTGGTCTACGTCATTCTCCTCCTAGGAAGTACACGGGGACTGCATGGGCAGAGGTGACCATTCCCACAGCAGAAGGGAAACTGAAGTACGCACAGCCCTTTCTGCTGGAATTCCCTAGAAGGGGTCTGTGCCACATACAGGAAGTAGGGAGGGTGTCTTTGCAGCATATTTCTTCTCTTGGAGTAACTGCGAACGTTGCACGGCGACCACTTGATCCATTCTGTGAAAGTCCCAAGCCTGTCACGCAATAAAGACGTCCAGTTTCACCGCAGCAGGGAGGACCGCGTGAAATATTCCCACTTGAACAAAAACCACTTAGCAGTTTACATCAATGCTCACCCTGTCTCGTTAAAAGTGATGTGAACCCACACGCAACAGCCCCCAAACCAGCATGTTGATACCAAGTTTCCCCAGCTGCATCCAAATCAATTCCTTCCTCCCCTTTCCTAGTATCATGGGGGCAGGCAAAAGAGAAGTCAGAAAGACAGAGGATTACCCGCAGCCAACTCCAAAACAAAATAACCATGGGAACCACCCAGGAAGAATGGGAAGGGTTCCCAGGAAACCCATTTCAAAGCCTCAGATTGCAAGTGGGGAGACTCAGCAACCCTTTAACCACCAAAACAATCGTCACAAACAATGAACTTTCTATTGTACCAAAAAAGGTGGATTTGGGCAGGATCAAGATAATAAAGACTTTAAAAGCTTCAATCCTCATTCCCCAGCCTTCTGCAAACGCCACACTTACCCCATTGGAAACAGAAGAGGCTTTGTCAAGATCTCCAAATGTGCCATCTGCAGGGACTGCTCACATACTAGGTGAGACGCTAGGATTCAGAGCATCATCCCCCATGGTACCAACCAGCCTCCTCTTCCTCCTCCTGGGCTTCAGGTCTAGAAAGGTGGGTCTCAGTCCACAGTGATTCTACCTGTAAGAGCAACATAAGAAAATAATGGGTCTTGTGCTTCTTTTTTATATACCTCTAGAGATTGCAAGATTATCCTCAGAAACATTAATGTGGTAACACAGGAAAAGTACTTCACATGTTGCAGACACTCAATACATTAGTATTTAGTATTGACATTTTAATAAGCAATTCATATTTTAATAAAGAAGCATTTACCAGGCTTAGTTCTCTACAGCTTTGTAGAAAGCACCTCGACTATAGAGATTCTTGCCCAGCAAAATCTCATAGTCTATGGAAACACTGAAGCATGTGGCTGCAAGGTACTAGAGGCAGCTCTACCATTCAGTACAAGAGCTCACACATCAATCCACCCTAACCATTTCAAGAAACAAAACTTTCCAAAAGTGATGATCTCTTCCCTAAAAGTTTTACCAATGAAAGCCACGCTAACACTTGTTTTCAAGCAACGGCATCAAAATAAACTGGAGAAGCGGGTGTTGCAAAATACTTATGAAAACTACGCCTCCTTGTTCTCTATTCTCATGAAAGCATTGGCTAGAACAAAATAGCACCACCGGGTCATAGCGGGCAGGCCAGACCAGGTGCAGCTAGTCAATCTGTCTTCATCGAAAATAACTCCACACTCGAAGCTGATTCACTACCCCAAATGTAAACCAAGACTCACTCCTTGAGCAAAGCAGAACGACTTTAGCATAGCACCATAAAGCCAATGAAGCCTTTTCCCAGCTCACAATCCCTTCCCATCCCCAGTCCAGTCCCTTTCAATACTAGATGCATAAATAAATGCTAACTAATTATGCCATTACATAGGACAAGGTCCTAATACCCTAGGACCTTGTCAACTGAGAGACCCTAGAAAGAACCAATGGCTCAGGGTTGGGCAAACTCAATAATGCTAGATTCCCTTGTCGGGGAGTATTAACCAGTCAAGCTCCTCTGTCCTATGCTCTTATTGTCCCTTTTTGGTTACAACATCAACCATAATACCAAACAATCAACACTTCCCCAAAAGTGCTTAGAAACTCCAGGGTCTGAAACAGTACTCCAAGGTCTGTGGCACAAAAATGCGATGGCAGTCACCAGCATTCTCTGTCTTCAAGTTTAATTCTTTTCCTGTTTTAATTTAATTTTTAGAGATGGGGTCTCACTGTGTTGCCCAGGACGGCCTCAAACTCCTGGGCTCAAGGAACCCTCCTGCCTCAGCCTCCTGAGTAGCTGGAACTACAGGCACACACCACCATGACCAGCTTCCAAGTTAAATTCTTGAGTAACTAAATTTAACACACTTTGCCTTCATAGAAGCAACCCACTAACTTACATCCCAGTCGCTGCCAAGTTTTGGGCTTTGTACTCATTTCATTTTTACACTAAAGGCAGGCAAAAAAAAAAAGAAAGAAAGAAAGAAATAACAGAGCAGTGAATAAGATCCTCAAGGAGATGAAACAGGAGAAAAAAAGAAAAAAGAAAATCCTGGGAAAGTAAGATAAAAATTGGAGGGAAGAAATGGTAACACAATCAACTAGGAAAATAAGATAAAAATACTGAAAATATGGAACTTGTCCATAATGAAGAGAGAACAAATGGGGGAAGTGGTTTTTGTTTTATTCTACTACAGTAACTTCACCTTCCTTCACCTTCCATTGAGAGAGGTGGTAAGGTTGGAAGTAGGACAAGAAAGGCTAGGAGGCAGAAAATACTAATCGTTACACTGAAAACACTCAATGTCACTATTAAATGCCTACTTTGTGCCAAACGAAGGATAGAAACCTTACATGAATATTCATAATGAAATCTCATTATACGCTGAATTCACAGTGCAATTTCACAATCCGTTTCCAGATCACATTTGAGGAAATACAAGTTCAGAGAGGTTAGGCAATTTTCCTGAGGCCACACAGTCAAAAGTGGCAGAGCAAGAATTCAAAGCCAGGTCTTTCTGACTCCAGCATCCTTTCTGATATACTCAGAAAGAATCTGTTCTGAGAAAACTTTAAAATGCTCAGACTCATGCATTAAATATGAACCAAAATGAAGTGTCTTCTCCAGTCATTACAGCAAATTTGTTCTGCTGTTGTACAAGGTAAATCTGTACTGTCAAGTGGGTTGAAAGTACCTACAATTCACTTTAAATTACCAGTAAGTCTTATGTAAATTCTAGTTACATTTTTCCAGAACAATATCACAGGGTGTGCTTCAATGAATACACAAAACCCATCTTGGAACAATTTGGTCCACTGTGCATGGTGTTCACAAACAGAAAGTATATTTTAATAAAACTGAAAAAATATAATCTATGTCAAAGATACAAAGATACATATGTGGTGTCCTCCCACTTACAGCTAAGGAACTCAGTTGCTAATTTTCAAAGGCTGTTTAAGGTCTTTTTGACAGAGTTCCACTGGGCAGAATTTTAAAAATGAATATAAACTCAAGAAAGGAGGTGGCCTTTGTTTGTGTTCCAATTAAGATACCATCAAAAATCGAAGTTGGTTCTTCCAAAAGACCAATAAAATTGATAATACATTAGCAAGACTGATGGGGAAAAGGTACACATAACGCCATGAATGAAAAAGGAAACATATCTACAGATATACAGTCTTTAAAAATGTTATGAGGATATCATGTTCAATATGATACCAATAAATTTTAAATTGTACATAAAATGGGAAAATTTCTGTAAAAATTAGTTATTAAAACAAACAATTTTAATGATCTGGTACCTATTAAACAAATTTACAATTTAAAAACAGTCAGATAAGGTGGCACACGCCTATAGTCCTAGCTACAACAGGAGGTTGGGGCAAGGATCACCTGAGCCCAGGAGCTCCAGTCTAGCCTGGGCAACAGAGCAAGACTCCATCTCTAAAAAGAAGAAATGAGTGAATAAAATTTAAAATATAACCAACCAGAGACAAATCAGCTTATTTACTGGGAGAGGCAGGGAGACAACATGAAAAGATAATGATATAGAAATTGCCACTTTCTCTCACATCTACACGGTCATATAGTAGCATTAACCCCAATTCCAAAAGTCCTCATGATGGTATCTTCTAACAGTCACGTGTGACAATATCTAAAAACCTTTGCTCTGTGAACCGTGCAGTTCCCCTTTTTGTAGCTAAGAATTATTGTTCCATAAAACTCCGTCTATTAGTCAGTTTCACCAGCATTATCATGAGATCCAATTTGGTTGTCTTTCCTGTTGAGTGAGTTACTAAAGGTTCCTTGTGGGGTGGAGGGGCATGAGGGAGCAGGTCACAGGCCTCGTGTCAGCATCAGTTTCACATCGACCTGCTGCTGGGTCCTTTCTTGAGTCCAAAATGAGCTAGAACTCAGGGCTTTAGCCCTGGATCATGCAACCTGTTGGTCTTACCTAAGCCATGTCTGATTTGGTTGAAAAGTAATTTCCTTTCCATCTGTATCTTTAACTTCAAGGAAGTGGCAGAGTCAGAGCAAGCTAAGTGAACTGTGGCCCCAGCAACCTGCCTCCTGACCCCCAAAGTTCAAGGGAAGGTATGCTGAGAGAGTCAGACAATTCCACTTTGATATTAGAAAAATGATAAAATCAGCTACTGACATTTTCCTGATTGTACCCACCCCAGACCCGGGAAAGAACATTTGGCTTGCTATAAATACAACAGAAACCACATATTTTTCACCTTCATTTCTTCCCCTAAAAGTAAGATGATTCTGTAAACATTCTCATGAAAGGATTCGCTTACAAAGAACAAAAGCCAGCTCCAACTGCTGGTGTATCACTAAGCTGTTGATCAGGTATGAAGTAAGTGCAACAGGTAACAGTTAACCCAATAGCCTCCCTCTGACCTCTACACACTGAGCAAAAGCTACACAGGCCAAATGGAAGCCCCCTGACCAGCTCCAAACTTGAAATAAAATCTAAAGCCTATCTGCGAGAAGCCTCATTTGAGCCAGGTTTATCCTTTGCGGGGAGATACTGTCACTTGCAATAAGCCCAGCCCCCAGTGCCACCTTCCACCCAAACTTCCTCTCACACCCCACCCAAAATTGATTTAGGCAATCAATCCGAAGATAAGCTAGCTTTCACAGAAAGACAGACATTAAAAAAAAAAAAAAAGAAAAGAAAAAATTATCCAGATAAACAAATCACACCTCCACAGCCAGGAACCTAGAGCCGAACTAATTTAATCAGCTGTAAAATTAATGAGAAACACGAGACTTCCGATGTCCCACTCCAGAACTCCCATCCAGGTGCGGTCGGGAGCCACAGCTTCTGAATATTCCCTCGGAACTTTTTGCTCACTTGATTCCCAAGCCTGCCATGGGGTTCTTTTTCAATGGCACTGACCTGCAATTACCCAACGCGCAGCGGGACAGCCCCGGGCAGGACGCATCCTGGGTGGGTGACGTGATCCCGCAGTCTCCTCCCCGACCCCGTATCCCATACAACGATCCTTGCTTACAGAAGTCAAAGGGGAAAGATGAAGCTTTCAAAGACCGAATCTCTACCCTGGAGCCGGAACCAACGTCGCCGGCGTCCCCTGCAGCTCAGCCGGCAACGCGCGCCGAGCCTCGGGACGCAGCTTGGAGACGCGCTTGCTCTTTCTGGGAAGGGGCTCCGGGGCGCACGGTTCCCCCGCCCCAGCCGCACAGAGAGCTCGGGGCTCTCACCTATCCTCGTTCAGAGCCACATTCGGCTGCCTCCCCCGACCACCCGACACAAAGAGACTCGCCGATGGAAAGAATCGATTTCAAAATTCAAGCTCACCCCTGCTCAACAAGGCGCGCACGTTTCTCCCGGTCTGGCTTCACATGTCTCGAACTTCCAGTAACACAAATGAGGAAGCAGCAGCCTTCCCCGGCTGCTGGCGGAGGCAGTGGGTGTAACTTGTGAAGTTTCGTGCTATGATGAATCTGGTCACTTGGGTGTGTTAGAGAGGGTTGGTCGCTCCTCCCTTCCTCCTCCCACCATCACCTCCCTCCTCTCCGCCTCCCTCTCCAATTTAATTCTTCCCTCTGGCATTCGCCGGCTGTCACTCAGAATCCCAGCACCCTCCCTACCGCATCCTTGGGGGCAATGCATTTCAAAAAGGTCTTACCCAATTTACAGATGAACCTGGTCACCCTGCACAAAGCATGGGCGCCTGTCAGACAATTTTCTACAGCACATGGCAAAAAAGCAACGCCTCTTAAAAGACATAAAAGGCCAGCAATGTTACATATGCGCCCCCCACCAGCCCTTCACGGGCAGAAATGTGGGTAGCTCATCAAGTGGAGACCTAACTCCTAAACATCTATTGAAAACGAGTGGAGGGCAGAAAAACAGGAAGCAAACCTTCAGTTGGCTGCCTTTTCTTTAACAGGTACTAGAAAGTATTTCCAATATACAACATGTATTTGAAGATAATATAATGAACACCCACATGCCCACCATGTAGCATAAAAAATGAAAATTATTCACATAGTGTAAACTGTCTGTGAACCTCTTCCTCGCTGAAACACATCCCTCTTTCCTTCCCCCGGAAAGAAAACTGCCCCAAATTTGATTTCCCATGAGCAATTTTTATATCACCGTTTCTAAAAATGTTAAAGAAAACATGCTAACTTAAAGTTTACCAGAAAGCCATGCAATGAACATCCCTCTGCTGTGCTTGACCTTGGTTTCCAAACAGAAGTTTCCTTAAATAAAACTTTAAATGACCTCAGGTTAAATGAAGCCTCAGGTGGCTGGTTAAAGAGAATGAAAGAAATCACGAAAGAAGAAAACAGTAAATCTGAAGTGACAAGTGAGAGGCTATATCTGAAATGGTTGAAGCATTCATGGATGAAATTGATAGATTAATAGAGCATTATCATTTTATAAGGTTAAAAGCTGTGCCAAAAACTTAGGCTACTCATCCATACTGCAAGGGACTTTCCTCAAAGATACAGGCTACAAAAATAGAAACCCAACACTCATTAAAGAAGTCATAATGACTCAAATGCCAGCCAGGGATGCAGCCTGGAAACAAAACTCCAAAAAGGGAACTCTGAGATACATTTAAACTTGACTCAAATATATATGTATATATATCCATATATATTCATATATATCATATGTATTCACATATATATTCATATGTATATGAACATGAAGAAAGAGGTGTCTGGTTCATCTTTATATTCTTGGTAAAGAATATAGGCTGGTATCAAGGCTGGTATAGCAGAAAATTTAATAACTACCTGATAAATGAATTAAGTAAATAAAAGACTGCCCACAAACACACCTAAAGGAACAGAATGGGCACGGTGGCTCACGCCTATCTATAATCCCAGCACTTTGGGAGGCCGAGGCAGGTGGATCACCTGAGGTCTAAAGTTTGAGAGTAGCCTGGAAACATGGTAAAACCCCATCTCTACTAAAAATACAAAAATTAGCCAGGCATGGTGGTGCGCGCCTGCAATTCCAGCTACTCGGGAGGCTGAGGCATGAGAATTGCTTGAACCCGGGAAGCGGAGGTTGCAGTGAGCCAAGATCACACCACTGCACTTCCAGCCTGGGTGACGGAGTAAGACTCTGTCTTAAAAATAAATAAATAAATAAATAAATAAATAAATAAATAAGTAAAGAAATGAATGAACAGAATGAAGGAAGAGAATAATGTTTGGATAGAGCAAAGCTCCTTAGTTGGAGGTGATTTTGCCTCTCCGGGGAACATTTGGCAGTATCTGGAGGCATTTTTGGTTGTCACAGCTGGGGGGTGCTACTGACATCTAGTAGGTAGAGTCCGGAGATGCTGCTCTACATCCTATCATGCATATAACAGGCCCCCACAACAAAGAATTATCCAGCCACAAATGCCAATAGTGCTGCTGCTGAGAAACCCTGATTTAGAAGTTTCACTATCACCTGTCATTTAATTAACGTATTCCATCTATTCCATATAGCATCATCAATTTGAAGAGAGTCTCCAGGGACTTATAAAAACATGAAACAACACTTCTCCTTTTCCACTGTGCAGCATTCAATCGCTGAGAACCATACATATGGACTCAGAAGAAAGCAGACACTGAGATCAGAGGCAGGAAAGCATCCCATGGTTTTGGGCGCAGCCTTGTCGTCCATGCACTCACCAAGCCACTGACTTACGCTGAATCTGGACGAAAACAATCAAGAAGGGGATGGGTGAAGGAGGATGTAAAGCCAGGAGAGACTGGTTTGAGAATCAGAGATCACACACTTTCAGGAAGCCGACATGGTGTGCAGCGAGAGATGTGACAGATACAGAGACAAAGCGGCCTTAGCGAGGCCCATCAGTCATTTCTCCATTGACCACTATGAGTCTACACTGGAACTACTCCACACAGAATAGGAAGGTGCTTCATCTCATTACAGCATATAGAAAAGAATGTCACAAATCACTCATGAGAAGAGGGAGGCAAGCACCATGAAGTCAGCGGTCAGAGCATCAGAGCAGTGGGCTTACACAGGGAGCACATCTTGCCTACAGGTTTTCTGGTCTCATGATTACCTAAGAAGGTTTCTTTTAGCTCTGGGGGCGGGGTGGGGGGCATATACTTTTTTCCCCTTCTTTCTGATATTATTATTTAATTTCTGCATGGAAGGGAAGAAGAGCTTTTTGTTGTTGTTACTTAGTGTTTCTCAAAAGGGGAGGTGGGGAACAGTAGGTTTGCTCATCTTGAATTTTCTTAAAGCCACATATGTGGTGGGGATGCGATACATACATGATGGATTAAACCAAATAGTCCCCACCTGCTTCCCTATCTCTCAGGCCTAAAAATAAAGGGTCCCATGTAGATGCTTCTAGAGAAGAACACCCTGAGATCAAGAGTCCGAGCAACATGTGAACACGTGACATAAACCCCGCTGGCTCCATACAGTGGCGGGCAGGTTTTCACAGATCTGAACAGAAGGGCTGACCTGATGTGGGTGAAAACACAACAATATCAGAACTGGAGAGGCCCCAGGCATTGGCCTTGGGCCTTAGAGGGAAGCAGGACTTAGCATCCAAGAATTTACTCCTAGAGCAGAAGGGCTGCGTCCTCCTGCCCAGGAAGATTCCGCCACAACACTACTAGACAAGTGGGCAGTAAGGAAGATGCCCTATCCCTCTAAAGGTACCAGTTTCTTAACCTGCGGTTTTGAAAGCCACTAGTTTTGCTTTTTTAAAGTTATGCGCATTTTGGAAAAGAAAACGTGAATGCAGGTCCGAGCTCCATCAGCAACAATGAACTTACACACAAATGCACGTATTTCTGCTCCAAAGAAATGCGACCAGTAGAGGGAGCACAGCTGACTTTTGTTGTTAATTTCTCAAGATCGGGATGAACCTGGGGATGATGCTAAATGATAAAAAATAATACACATCACCACAAAAGAAAAGATTTATGCACGAAGATTCAGAGAAACTGTAAACCATGACATCCTTAGAAGGTATGTGAATTGTCAGTGGATATTTGCACAAGAGCTGGCTAAACAGACAGAAGAGGACTACATAAAAAATAAATTCATGTTGGAAAACAGTATGTGGCATGTGGAGAAAAGGTCACAAAGGGTTAAACTTCTTTTTCCCTTTGTCAAGTGGATTTACACTCAGAAATGAAAACCTATGGAGAGTTTATTTAAGTATATTCTCTCCAAAAATTTTAACTCAGTGTTTAGCTTGCTTGCTCTCTCTCTCTCTATGTATATATTAGATCTACAATAGCTGGGCTTTAAAATTCCTTTCAAATTGCATTCTCAGTGACATAGATGACTTCCAAAAGCAAGCATTTTCTGGATTTCTCTTCAGGGGTCTCCAGAACCAACTTGGTCAGGAATCAAGGTGTCTTCAAGATCTGTGAATTTGAAGCCATCAGCCATAATGGAGCTTACCTCCACCTTTTCAAGCCTCCATAGAACAAAAACAAGGTAAGAAGTGCTGGCACCAACCCTAGCAACAGTGTTATCAGCAGCAAGGCCAGGGAAGAGTCTCCTCCTCCTCAAATTAGGTGATACGCAACAGGGGTGTTAACACCATCAAATTACCTGAATCCAAACACGATTTCCCAGCATCACTGTAGTTCCAAATATGGATCTTGTTAATGGAATCCATATTTGGAACCGCTATGGAAATGCAGAAGGTTTTTCATAAATACATTTTGTGGTTGACTACCAACGGATTGCCAAAATCAATTTTTTATATTTGAAACTGATGAAAGGTCTAAATATGGATCCATCCCACACACTCCCATGCTAGGTAATCTGAGGGTCTGCTCGGGAATACGGACACGTCTGAAAACACTGGAAACACTTGTTTCAGCCCTGGATGGGGTCTTTCTTTTCTCTGAGAGACAAACAAGGTTCACCTTTTTAGGCAAAGTTTTAGAGCATAGTCTTCATTAAATTTGATGTAATACAAGAATATTTTACAACTTCAGAGTAAATCTTATGCCAACCAAACTTAGAGACTCTTTACATAGTTCTCTCTATCTGAAAATGAAATACCTAACAAATACATAGAGATATTCTTAAAAAAATAGAGGGCCAGCCAAAAAGAGGCCAGAAAACTCTAATAGCTTTTAAACACCACCTCCAGAATGCATTACAGGGACTGTGTGGCAAATTCCCTAAAATCCAAGGGCTTCAATTTCCTTGACTATAAAATGATGATGTTCGATTTAATTTTCTCTGCCTTCTGAGCTCTATCTTCCAATTATATGTTTCCATGATTTTAAAGCCCCCATTGCTTTCATTACCCCAAATTAGATTTCCTTACAGAAGAACAACTTTCATCTAACAAGTCAAAGTCCACAAGGTCAGGGCTCCTTGGTAGCCCACATTCTTGTAAGTGAAGCCAGGTTTTAACTGAAAGTGTGAAGGGAAAAGGGAGGAAGTGCAACCAGAGTTAGATAAAGGTAACAAAGACGGCTGAGGAAACATCCGTGAGCTCTTAGCTCCCACCAGCAATAAACCATATGGGGCCAGATGCTGTCCCACCCACACACACAGTAAGGCTTT